CCTACCAACCCCTGGTGTTTTTCACCTTTGCATAAAAGCCCAGCTGGACTCTTTGAAATAAGCAGTAATCTTATTACCTTTATCAATTCAATCCTCTTAAGGTTCAATCCTATTAATCAGGCTTGTGATGTGGAGAACCTTATTATTTCAAAGTCAATCTGCCCATCAGCCAGTTGCTGATATTGGGAACAGTCAGCTCCAGCCCAGGGGGGGTGCCTGACCCAAGCGCATGTGCGGGGCCACGGGTCTCATCAGCCCTGTGACACCCTGCGTGCTCCAGCTGCCCACCTTCACCAGGGTGGCGAGGTGCAAAATCCTTCCTGGGCATGGACAGGACGCGTCCTGCAAAACGTGTGTTGCTTGTTGGTTATGTCTCTGGAATGCTCATTTCCTTTTCCTAGGAAATGCTCCTGCTCTCACCACTGCCGTGCCAGGCACCGGCTGGCTCCGTCTTTCTGCCTCCTGGGCTCAGGAGCTGGAGGAGGGAGGCATTGCCCAGTGACACCCCCGGCACAAGGACTGGCACCTTGAACCCCTCCAGAACTGGGACAGCTGATGTAGACGGACCCCTCGCTGGGGTGAGCTGGGCTTTCTTGGCACTGGCAAGTGCAAGCACTGGAAGTTTCAGGCGCTGCGGGGTGCTCGGCCCCCCCAGCCCGGCGGGGTGCGTGGGGCCAGGGGCTAGCGGTGCTCTGGGCAGGCAGGGCTGTCAGCTAGTGATCGGACGTGTGACTGAATTAGCTGTCTGCTCTGCTCTGGCTTCGTCCCCTGCAAAGAAGCTTTTTCTTCCCGTATTTTGTGTTTGAGCAACGCAATTAGTCCGCTTCCTTGGCCCTATTGACATGGGCAATGAAGGATTGTTTTCTTGAGCAGGTGGTGGTTTTTCTGTCAGTGGACTTCGCTTTTCAATGTGCCTTTTCAAATTCTGGCCATCCCCGTACCGATGCCGATGCCGGCTGACACGGGGCAGCAGCTTCAGACGTCCGCCTGCGGGGACCTCACCCGGAGCAGCACAGGGCTTCAGCGTGCTCATTTCCCGGGCATCACCCCTATTTCCATAGTCTCCTTCCAGCTTCCCCAGGCAAGGGTGTGGGGGATCTGCCGTGGCAGCGTGAAGCAGTCCTGCTGCCAGATGACTTATTTAGTCAGATGTCCTGAATTGCTGCGTGTGTGAGGGACGAGGCAGGGGTTGGGACACGGTTCCTCACCCGCAGGAAGATGCTGTTTGGTTGTGGTTTGCCACAGGAGGATGAATTCACCCAGATGGGGCAGGGGATCTGAAGCTCAATGGATGAAGACCTGGGGGAAATGGAAATGTTTTTAGGCTACGCTACAGGTGAATCAGGATGGAGAGGTTTGAGGGACAGAGGCTCAGGCCAGCGCTGCTGGCTGCCCCGTGCAGGCAGGGTGGGTGCTGGGGGCGGCGCGCAGCCCGGGTCGGCCGTCAGAGGATGCTGTGGCTGAGGATGCGGGGAGGTGAGCTGCAGGGCAGCGCAGGCGTCCCAGGCAGAGGGGAAGCTGCAGCGCTGGAAGTATTTTGTGGTGGCGTGTTTGAGCCCTGAGGTGGTGCTGAGGACTCTGCCTGCTGCTGCCTGCTGCTGCCTGCCGCGGGCCCCAGGCTGCCACTCCAGCAGCAAAACTCCGGCGTGCGTTTGTAGAGGACTGGAGGAGCTGCCTTAGAATAGCACATGCTGCTGTGGGCTCATGCTTGGTTTGTTTGAAAAGTGCTGGAAACCAGTGCAGCCTTGTGCTGTCATGCTCTGAATCTATCTGTTCATGAATAGCTCTTCTTTATCAGCATATGTGCAGCGACTGAAGTTGCACAGGTTCAGCTGTGTCCGGTCTGAAGCAAATATCCTAAAAATAAACACGGGAGCAAGCCTGAAGAACACTGCCACAGCCCTTAATTTTTACTGTAGACCTTTTCCTTCCCCTCTCGACTCTGATGTAATGAAATAAAGCATCTTATTTTCTTCCATTGCCAGGGGCCCTAACTAAAAACAACCCCCTGCTGATCTCTGCTGCTCAGAAACAGGGAGTTTTATTGGCTTTAGTTATTGCATTTTATTCAGAGCCTTGTATGTGGGTGAGTGAGGCCCCCGGAGGGATTCGACAAGTATTTGCATTCCATTTGTGTCTTCCGAGTGCTGGCTGCTGGTGTACTTAAGGCAGAGATACCAGACGTGTGATCGAGAGCTGATGTGGCTTTTTTCCGTGGAGGGAAGACAAGATCTGGAAGATGGCCCTGGGACAGAAATTGCAGGATGTCATGGGAACTGACCCACGGACGAGGCTCCTTTCCCGCGGCTTGCGCGGGGACGCTGGCTGTGGGTATTTTGATCCCTGATGTATCTCGGGGCCGGTTCGTAGAGCCTGGCGAGATGCCTCCTGCGGCCCAGGGAGGCTGGACCTGCCGGGGACGGTGAGAAGCCCTGGCCTGGGGGATGCTGTTGGGTGTCCTGGCTCTCGCCTCCATCCCCTGGTCAGTAAAAGGGTGGATTCGGCCACGTTACACCCCAGCTTTGGGTGCTGCGCCATGATGGAGCTCTTCGGGATTTCAGCAGCTTTCCTTTCCTCTCCTTTCGACTATGGAGACAAGGGGTCCGTAGGGGATAACGACCGCAGCAGAGATTTCAGAGGATGTTTTCTGGCTTTGTGTTGAGTCCCACACTGGAATTTTGCCTCGTTTTAAATTCTAGTGAATTCTGTAGATCAGCTAAAATCATCAAAACTCACATTATCGCTGGCTAAAACTTGGCCCCTGGGTTTCCACCGCCCGGCAGCCCTGGCTCACAGTTGGGCTGTGCATCGCAGCTTGGCTCTGCATCCCACGGCAGCCAGTCCTCGGCCGACAGGAGGGGGAAAAAGCAAACACTTGGCTAAGAGAAGCTATAAAAGTCAGTGTTCCTGAGATAATTAGTATGTTGGGAAAGTGACAGGAAAGAGAATCAAGCAAAGCCAAGGTCAGCCGCTGCTAATTAAGAATCAGCACCTTGTGTCAGCCTGAGCTGTGGCTTGGAATTGAAACATACCCCGGGAGAGACCCAGGAAGATAAAGGTGATACAGTTACCCAGATAGCAGCTAACGGGATTTGAGCAGGGGTTTAAAGTTTCATTCCAGCTTGGCTGATAAAAGGGGCAAAATGAGAGAAAATGGGAGGGGGAGGCGCGTGCTTTGCTTCCAGGAGGGCTTTTTGCCTCTGCAGCTGCCGGAGCATTGCAGACATAGCGGGGTCTGAGGAACGGGATCTTCTGGCTAGAGAAATAATGGAATTGACATTTTCTTTCCCCCAAAACTCCTCTTATGGCCTTTTTGGAGGCTCTTCTGGGAAGGTCACCGCAGCATGTTGGTCCCAGTCACTGTCTTGTGGGAAGGTGGGAGAGACGAGGTGCTGCAGGGGTGCCAGCCTTCCTCCCCTGCTCTCCGATGGGAGACATACCTGCCTGGCGCCTGGGTTTTCCTTGGTCTGGGACAGACGTACAGTAGTGAAGGGCCTGTGGATTAAATGATTTGGGTCCGTTGGGTTCAGGCGGAGCTGTTTGTTGCACCTTGATTCAATGCAGGGGCGTCCATATGAAAAATGAAATGGAGCTAAGTGTCTCTCCTGGAAATCTCCCGGACAGCAGCTGGCAGGGAATGGGACCTGAGTGTCTCCGCTGCCGACTTGGGGTTGGGGCAGGCTGGGTCACGGCCGCAACGCTTCAGGGGTCTCTGGGAGCTGCATGGGGACGGCAAGGACCAGGGTCCGTGCATGGCAGCTCAGGGTGCTCCTGCTGCCCCCGACATCTGGTGTGGTTGTGACAAATGAAGGAGAATGTCTTAGTGAAAGGTTATAACTGAGCAGATTATTTTGGTTTAGAGGAAGGCAGTTTAAAAAAGGTGCCCTTCATTGTAAAAGTGAATTTGTATGTCAGCATTGCTCTGTCTCCTGCATGGCAAAACAGTAGGAGGTTTAATGCGTGGGAGTTACACGGTGCCAGCAGCCTGTTCCCTTTGTTGCCCAGGGTCCAGGTGAGTGGTGCTGGCTGGGAGGACGTCGGCCCTTTCAGCACCCAGCGCAGCGAGGAGCTGGGCAGGGGCCCAGAGCTGCTTTTCCCGTTAGCAGTGCAGAGAACAGAAGCTGAATATGTATTAGCATTAAAAACTGCATGGCATTTCTCCTGCACTAACGCTAACTACAGCGTTAAATATGACACCACGTAGTGGATTTTCAGCAGAATGCACGGGGAGCTACGTGACCCTCTCTGATCAGTCAGTGCTGTTGCTGAAGCAGACATGGAGCTCCGTCTAAAGTGCTGTTTTTCTCTTAGAATTTGCAATTCAGTAGCCCAGACTGATGCACGGGGCAGCTGTCAGCCTGCAGTCTGCTCCTGCTCACCCTTTCCGTTGCTCTGCGGCACAGAGGATTATAAAATTGCATGGTATTTGGTTGTGTGCACATCAGACCAAAAACATGCCCCAAAAATTGGTGCTGTAGCAGTGCTGTTTATGTCCATGAATACTAAGGAAATAGCACATTTGAGCATCTTGATGCATATTACAGGCTTGATTCTCAGCCGCTAACTGTGGGGCACAGCTCACGACATCTCAGTATGCCCCTGTTTTGCAACCAGTGCAGTTAGACACCAAATGCAGCCAATTCAACAGTGCAGAAAACATTTCACCCACAAAACGTGAGGCTAATATAAGACCCAACCAAAAACTGGCACTGATGGAGGGGCAAATGTGGTGCAGACCTGAAATGACTTGAGTTTTTGGGGTGCAAAGGTTGTGACTCTCCAGAGATTTATTTCTCCTCTTGTCTCCATGAGGTTGGAGAAACAGGAGAGGAGTCGGGCTGGTAGTAATGCAGTGTGCACACACCGGATCACCCGCAGCACCTCCACTCCCTCTTGTGTCTTACGGAGGTGAGACCTCTCCGGAGAAGGGGAGGCTGCCTGCCGTGCAGAACAAAGCGTTTGTCAGTGCATGGTGACCCACCATGGGCTTTGCTTTCCAGGATTTCTTGACTGACCTGATGATGTCTGAAGTTGATCGCTGTGGTGAGAATGAGCATCTCATTTTCAGGGAGAATACACTGGCCACCAAAGCAATCGAAGAATACCTGAAGCTGGTGGGGCAGAAATACTTGCAAGATGCCTTAGGTATGTACAGACCATTGGTAAGTCTCTCCCGGAGAGGTCTTCCTCTCAGCTGCAGGGTGTTCCACATGGTGGAGACCATCAGCTGAGCCCTGATGGCCATGGGAAGCACCAGCCTTTACCTGCCGGAGGGTTCCTCTGGCAGCGGAGACCAAGCCCAGGACCCAGCCGTGGCTGCAGCGGGCAGCTCTCTGCTCCCAGGTGAAGGTCACCGCTGAGTTAGTGCTCTGATCTGCTTTCAGAGGAGATAACAAATTGATATTTGAAGGCATTATGCTGCCTGCCAAGTCTTCTGTCTCGGCACTGGCAGTGTCAGAGCGGCTGATTGAATCCTTCCCCTGATTGCACACCCCCGCCAGAGATGCTCCCCCGGTTCCTCGCAGCACTCGTGAGTCAGATGAAATCTCCCAAGTTACAGTGATGAGTTGCCTTCCAGATCGCACTGGGAACCCTCCTGGTGGTTTGGTTTTTTTTTTTTTCGGTGCTGGCTATGTTTATGGCTCCAAAAATATTTCTCTTGATGCAAATGAAAATAATTAGAGCTTTTGCTCCTGGGCAGGTCAGGAAGGAATTGCTGTGTTGGTGTGTGCAGCCAGCACGGCACGAGGATGGGGAGAGGCTGCCTTTGAAACGTTACGTCTGAACCTCAGCCGAAGGCGGCTAGATTGGATCCACAGCCTGGCAGTAGGATGAGCAGAGTTTCTATTGAGCTGTTAATTTTTCAGTATGTTGGGTTCCTACTAATGGATTTGTGTAATGTTAGCAAGGAGGAAAGTACCATAAATACTTTATTAAGATAATAATAATGATAATGACAACATTGAGGAAGAGGAGATCGTTGAGCAAATTCAGTCAAACCAAGAGATAGCCCACAAGAATAGGAAGAGGAATATTATTTATTTCTGCCTTGTCATGCTTTCTGGTTGAAGGCAGGTCTGTAAGTAGATTACCTCATAAAATTTCTAAAAAGCCAGGAGATCAATGAAGGCAGGGAATTTTGAAATATTCCCCTTTCAGGGCTCAATGCAAATGCTGCCAAGCCAGCTCCATCCAGTACAGGAGGAGCCTGCGGTTCTCGCTCGCTGTTCAGGGCCCTGATTCTGTGTAGACCTTTTATCAGTGAAATGATTCATCTGTGTGTCACAAGGTAATACAATACAGCATAGCGCTTTCCTTTAAACCATGAAGCACAAGCAAGTAATAGGGCTGGCTAATAACAGCAGGCATCACCTGCAGGCGAGCAGAGAGGCTCCAGAGCTCCCAGGCAGAGCTGAAAATACATTGGAGAGGCTCTCCAGTACGTAATTAAAATCTGTTTTGGCAATAGGGGAGGAATGCAGACTAGAGTGGGCAAAAAAAAGGAGGATGGGAAAAGCCAAGACAGTCAGGAATTAGGAGATGAGCAAACCAACTGGAATTAGAAGAAAACCAAAGCAACCCTGCAGATCCCTAGCTAAACGCTGCCTCTTAATCCCTGTTCTCCCGTCCCCCAGTCTCCCCAGCCCCTGCAGTGTGCTAACTGGGATGGAGGACTGCCATCCCCAAGCCGGACATGTGTCCAGGCGGTGGGAAGCGCCCGCAGCCCAGGCGGCAGGGGTCTGTGCCCGGGTACCCCAAGGGTGAGAGGTGGCACGAGAGTGAGGAGCTGGCGAAGCAGGCTCACAGTGTGAGTCTCCGCAAGGGTGAGGAGCAGCCAGGCAGCAAACAGGAGGGCAGGGAAACTCAGAGAAATGGTATAATTTAATTTCGTATGATGTTCAGCTGAAAATAAACCAAGTAAATTGTTTCTTTCCTTTAATTACTTATTTCTCCTGTGAATCAGACTGGCTTGTCAGCGCCAGGGCACAGTCTGCAGTAGCAGGCCATCCTACAAATAATTACAGAACTTGCCAGCATACTTCCTACTGGATTAGCCCGAGGGAGCATCTCTGGCAGTGGTGTAATGGGGGGTCGGGGCAGGCTGAGGAAGCGGGTGTTTTGGCAGCAGAGTTCTGATGCAATACCCCATAGCCACAGAGCCAGAGCTGCCAACTGGGGAAAAGGGATGAAACGTGCTCCTCGGTAGTCCGGGTGCCTTTCTGCAGGGTGTGCTGTATTGTTTTGTGAGCTCCCAAGGCAGTGCCGGCTGCTCCTGGGTCCGCTCGGAGATCTGGAGAGCTGGCTGGGGCACAGCCTGCCCCGGGAGCCACCGCTGCCAGCTCTCGTACCTGGCTTCTGTTCAGCCAGTGTGACGGGGCGTAGGGCACTGGGGCTTACGAACAGAACTGCCCGAAGGCTGCATCCCTCGTGTCTCCAAAACCCATCACTGACTGTCTGTTTTACAGGGGAATTTATCAAGGCACTGTACGAATCGGATGAGAATTGTGAGGTGGATCCTAGTAAGTGTTCATCTTCGGACCTTCCTGAACACCAGAGCAACCTGAAAATGTGCTGCGAGCTGGCCTTCTGCAAAATCATCAACTCCTACTGGTGGGTATCCCACGAGCATCGCTCCCCTCTGCATGCCCTCTGCTAGATGCAGCTTCAGGGGACACGGGTGGCACCATCCATCTTCGGGCTCTTGGTACCTGTCCCTTAGCTGTGCTGATGGGCACCTTGTCAGAGAGCTTTGGAGGGAGAGCGCGGGGCTCTGCCTGCGTCCTGCAGCATTTAAAGAAATCCCGGTGGTCCTGGAGCAAGGGTGAGGATGGCCAGGGGGTGAAACAGCAGCTCCTGCTCAGCCAGAGTTTGGAGTATCTGCTCTGGGGGTGCAACAGCCTCACGGATTCTCCGTCACACTTGTTTACAGGGGGTGGTGAAGGGTTACTGCAGCACAGCCATGGGGACGGGGCAGTGGAGTCAAGGAACACGAAATGCCTTTGCTAGTGTGACCGATTCAGAGGGACTTGATGCCAACTGTATGTGAAAATCTGGAATAAAGGGCAGAAATGCCTGTCCTGGCTCTCCTACCCATGTCAGTCTGGATCGGACTGACGGACTCTGCCTGCCTCCCCAGAGCGTCAGGTGACGTTCTGGAATCCTCTCTGCAGCAGGCAGGGCCTCTGGCACTCCGCCTGCCTGCAAGGAAGCTGCACCAGCACCGGGAGCTTTTGTTGAGGCAGATGTTCTCCTGTTGCAGAGCGCTGGAGCCCGGGAGGATGCTGCTGGTACTCCGGGGTTGCTGTTTGGCTCAGCATCCTGCATTCCTCCGGGTTAACCCCTCTCTCTCCCAGCCCCAGGTGGTTGCTGAGGTGGGGATGGGGAGCCCATCGCCTCCCTGGCTCACGGCCTGGTATGCAGTTTGAGGCATTTCCCAGTTGTTTGTTCTCAGGATACAAGTTTTTGCAACTAGTTGAGACAGGCCCGAGTGTGCAAAATTGGTTGTGGCGGTGGCTGTCAAGCATGGCTGTGCTCACGGGGTTACTTGCTGCTCAGTGCTGGGGACGGGAGCCAGGAGTCCCTGGGTCTCTTACAGATGCTGCCTGCAAAGCTGACCTGAAAGGGGGAAAAAATGGGCTTGTGACTCTCTTTACTTGCAGAAATAAAAATAGTTGCTTTCTGCTTCTTGCTAACATACCCAGAGACTCTTGTCCTGATTGTAGGAGAGAATGATCACTTTTGTCTTACTGCTGGATTTGCTGTCTTCCTGCTTAAAAGTCTGGGCTTAGTTTTTTATTAATGTATTTAGTAGCAACACTGTTGTTGCAAACATCAACTAAGGATAATATTGGAGGAAGGAAGTCTTTGATAATAAGGATTTCTCATTTTCTCTCCTATCCCAGCTGTTGTGTTGAGGTCTGAAAACTCATTATATGTAATCTCGCAGGGTGCTGAGCGTGCCCTTCTGCAAGCGCGGGAAGGGAATTGCTTTTCCTGATACTGCTCAGGGAGAGAATAAGCAGTGAGCCTGGAACTGCCTTTATCTCCTACAAGTAAGCAAAGGGCAGATTTCTTTACAGGTATCCTACACCTTATCCTGGGCCAATTAATAACTCTCTGACTCAGGAATGGCGTTTACCTGCTCCCAGGAGGGTTTCACTGCTTTTAGTCACCAGTGGATTATAATGGTTTAAATTAACGTCTTCCTACAAATACCCAAAGCAGGACTAAAAGGTGACTCTAAAAATAGGCTTGAACAGTGACCTAAGGAAAGCCAGGCCTGCAGGGAAGTTTGTTGCTCCAGTCCTGCCTTTCCAAGGAAAGCGGCCAGAGCGGCTGCTCTGAGTGGTTCCCCTCGGTCCTTTGTGCTCAGCGGTTCTTGGGGATTAATTGGGCTGATGAGCATTCGGGATTGGCCAAGGTATCCTGACAGCTAACGATCCTGCTTTAAATTGAGTGCCAGAGCGTGCGTGCTCATCTGCCGGAGAGAGTCAGAGAGAGGGAAGAGGTTTACAATAACTGAAAATTGTTATAATTATGACATAATTTGGACATCTGGAAAGTTTCAGTGTAAGCAGAATTTCAGCATGTGGAAGCTCGTTACTGGAAAGTTGGGTAATGAATTACGGGCCCGTTTGTCACATAAAGCTGGCTAACTGAATTCCATCCGCTGTTACACAATTAAACTTTTATGGTCTCCCAGCCTGTGATAGTGAGCAGTACTCACGGGCTGTATGCAGCCGGTGCATACATTTTCAAGGGTTTACTTTCCAGTAACAGTACAACCTGTCCTGATCATTCAAGCCTTAAATTGCTTAAAGGATTCTCCTGTTTCTGGGCAAATACCATGAAGTAAAAGGGCTTTGTCCAATTGTGTGGATCAAGCCAAAGACAGAGGGAAATTTATCCAGCCAAAGACGTTGGTTAATGTTATTTATAAAGCACAGGGTAAAAGCTCATGAGTGTGAGAGCATGGAGCCAACGCGGAGCAGAAGCTGAACATGATGGCAGCATTGCCAAGCACTTCCATGGAGTGTCACCACCCGTGTCAGGAGGTCAGAGAGAAACCTGAAAACCTGGGGCGCAGCTGCGTGGGGCTCTGTACGCAGCCGTGCCGTGCTGAGTGGGCTGCCTGGGGTGGGAGGCGCGCGGCAGGGTGCCCACTGCTTCGATGGACAGCAGCAGCCTCAGACCTGGGCCGTGCGGGCGGGCAGTGCGGTCTGCAGCTGGCAGATTAATGAAACGAGGGGCCAGGGCCCTGCCTGCTGAGCGTCAGTCCCGCTGGCTCGGAGAACGGCCGCAGAGCTAGAGGCCACGGCCGTTTGGCTGCAGGGTGCGTGCCACTCTCACGGACCACAAACCCCGCAGGTCGTGAGCTCTGCAGCTGTGGCGAGGAGCAGTCAGTTGGGCTTGATGAAGTGAGTGTCCGTAGCCCTGGGAAGTGGAGGCCGGAGGCCGGGGGGGGCTGGCAGGAGGGGGAGGACACTCGCAGTACC